CGTTCTAGCCCCTTTATCTATTTCCTACCCTCTTGTATCGCCCTCGTCCTATTACAACTTTTGACTTTTTTACACTCCACTCGTCAAAAAGTGTGCCCTTTTGGCGAGTTTAGTGTGGCATCTTCACATTTGCTGTTCACCTTGCCACGCTCTCTTTCGATTGGCTGATCCGACTCGAGCCACCAATTCGGATCTCCCACATGGGTCTGTAGATCCATTCCTTATCTTTCTCGTTGACCCATTTTATTCGGTTCCTGTTCCAGTGTACATTTTACTCCTGATGCTATTTCTCAAATCTTCAACAGCACGTACACTGTAGCCTCACAGACCGGCGAGCCTTAGCTCCGATTCCCATGCTTGCAAGTCATCTCTCTGATCAAACTCATAAAGTCTTAGCAAACTGTGCATGTCTATCTCTAGTCGTCTGCTACCTCTCGGTTGGGTTTCCAGTCAATTTGGCTGTAATGCCGAATTTCTGTGACGGTTGTAGCTATCTGTTTACCTGTTCTTGTGATCGCCAGGCCCCCCAAATCGTAGCTGTTTCTTCACTCATTGAGAACGTCTACACTTTATTTCCGAAACTTCTCGTTGTTATGAATTCATTTAGCGTTAATATGGTATTCAGGTTGACGCAGTCCACGATATATGCTACCCGTTTCGGGTGAAAACGGTCTGATGCCGGGAATTATGATGACTACTATAGCAGAGGACTTCAATCAAGGTAGCTTAACTAAGTCGCCCTGACAAAAAGACCAAGTTAAGAAAACTAAGTCAACCCACTCACCTATTTATTATTTAATTCAAAGGGTTTGGTAGATGTACCGAGCCAACATCAAATGGAATTTGTTTTAAGTAATCTCTCTGGGGTAATTCCTTTCGAAGTCACACTTTCTGCACATCTAATTTCATTAAAGGATTCTCAACTCAACCATGTACCCCAGTTATGCCTGAGCCTAAGTCAAATTAACAGACCTTGATGTTACGTTTATCTTTAACAACTAGGATCAATTTATTTGCAATCGCATAAACACACAGACAAATCTAAGTTAAAATAGATAAAAAATGGACAGATTGAATGCCTCTATGCCTTCCGAGAATTCAATATACATGAGAATGTAGTGGGGTTAGGAATAAGCTGGTTCGTTTACTTTAAAGTGTAAACAAGAAATATTTATAAAAATAGGTATTAGCTCTAAAGTTTTTTGTTGAGTATCATTATCAACAAAGCCTTAAGATTTACGTTTATAAATAGGTTTTCAAACTACCATTATATCATATATATATATGAGATGTATTCTTCCTATTTCGTCTAAGTTGATTAATGATGAGTAGACATAACCCCCCCTCCCAGTTAATTTCGCATATTCTTGATTTCTCAAAAGGTGCTTCAATTTAGAATGGACTGCAGTTTCGACCTCGCATAGGTTTTAGCAACCCCCGCAACATCACCGTTTTTGCGGGTGCGGAAGCAATCAATTTATTATCTATATAATACAGACTTATCATGCTTCAGCTAGGTCCATAGCTTTCCAAAAAGACTTATATAACTTAAATTGCAAATCACAATATGCCTTGCTCAAGTATCCCCCCATAGTTGCTAGTTAAATGAGGCTTACCTTGTCCTGAATATCATATAATTTAATACTTCAGGTTGGTTTGCGTCGTCTAAACTCGAAAATAACCTTGCGACAATATCGCATATAACCAATTAGTTTATCCTTATGTATGTATCTTTGTAGAATAGGCAAGGTCTTGAAGAATAAATGTATTCACTCTAGATAAGAAGAACAACCGATTGTGGTCTTTATTTTGGCCGCAGTCTTCTTTCGATTTATAGTAGTTGTTTGACCTTGTTTTCGCAACTTGGTCATATTGACAGGACGA